TCTACCATGAATCTTCTTTCCTGTGCATAGACTATTTGAGAGAGAGAAAAAAAAAAGAAAAACAGAAAGAAAGAGAGACAGAGAGAAAGAGAAAAAGAGAGAAAGAGAGAGAGAAAGAAAGAAAGAGAGAGAGACAAAGAGACAGAGAGAGAGAGAAAGATGTTGCTCTCCGATTTTTGTTTCTTTGTGAATACATTGTCATCGAACACTCTAATACCTTTTAATTGTACCCAATTATACATTGACCAATTCTAAATCTCGTCTCCTTCCTTAAGACTTTTTCGCTGTGCATGTATTGTTCCCTGCATTTTGTTACAAATTCTCTGCTCCTCTCACAATCACCCGCCACATGACGCAGCATCGCTGCGGCGGGTCCACTTGTAATAATAATAATAATAATAATTTTKTTTTTCGGTTTTTGATCTTTAACTCACATTTGGCTAAGAATTTATACATGACTCCAAGGCAAAAGTTGCTTGTATTGTTGTTTTACTTGATATATATTTTTTTCAAATATTTCTGAATTTTTTTTTTAATATTTTTTTATGTTCGCTTTCGGAGGGTTTTGGGAGCTCGTTCGTGTTCGGGCGAACATGTTCGTGTTTGCCTCCGAACTCGAACACGATGCTACGTAGCCCAAGGGTTCAACTATCGGATACATGGCAAAGAGGAGTTCAAGGAGAAAGCAGTGAGACTGCGACCCTACGACTCGGATTCCGAGCTCTGTCAAGAGCGTCGCTCGTCCCTTTTCGAAACCGAGATCCTACGTGCGTTCCTTACCCCTTTTGGCCTGGAAAAAGTCATCGCGCTGCGCACAGCGAAGTTCAAAGATATGTTTTGGATTAGATAGTCGTTCATAAAAGACTTTTTTCTTCCCTTCCCGCTTCTGCGCGCACTCCATATCTGGAACCACACATGATATACGTTCAAATTGGAATGATACAGAGAAGATTAACATAGCCCCTGACAAGGATGACATGCAAGTCAAGAAATGGTGTGTGTGGGGAGGGGGGGGGGGAGTAATGCTTTTGTACAACGATCGTGCTTCAGTGCTTCTGAAGAGAAAATGAGAAACATAATGTTTTTTCGATGGTGTGGCACATATTGTGAGGACCTAGGGTGTGAGGGGGGTTTGTCCGCATGTAGCCTCCCCGAAGTGTATGAGTGAACCAACAATTGGAAAGTTCGTTAGGGATCCTTTTTTTTTTTTTTTAATGATGGTTGTGATGAATTGAGAAGCGGCTTGTTTTATTTCATGCGTTGACAACATCTAAAAAACAACAAAAAAAATGAAATTGTATATAATTGGCATTTTAGCCACAATACTTGGAATAATAATACCACTCTTACTAGGAGTTGCTTTTTTAGTAATGGCTTTTATGCAGCGTAGAAAAGGTTCGAATGTGGTAGGGTTGTTTGGGTTATTACAACCTTTAGCAGATGGTTTGAAATTAATGATAAAAGAGCCTATTCTACTAAGTAGTGCGAATTCATTCATCTTTATAATCACTCCAGTCATTACATTTATTTGTTTTGTTTTCACTTTATTGACTTGTTATTGTTTCTCAGAAGAATTTGTTTTTTTATTAGCTAAACCTTTTCTTGTTCTACGCATAGCAAAACCATCATTTATTTGCACACAAATAACTGAAGCTTTGAAAACATATATGCAAATTTCTGTAAGTTTCGCCTTTTTTTTTGTTTTCCTTTTTTCAGTTATCAAATTTGGTGTTTTTTTATTCCTAGTTGTTACAAAACACAAAGGGTCCAATGGACAAAAATGTTCTATTTGAGTGTAATTTCCTTCTTGTTTTTTTTTCTTCTTATTTATTATTGGGTAGTTCCCATTATTTGGAACTTGTCGTTTACCTTAAATACAACATCTACGAATTTACTACACATTCAGTTACCCTCGAAGATTTATGATTATATTTTGTTAACTGTTCGTATTTTGTTTGTTTCATCAATATGTTCTTAATACGCTTAGAGCCTCGCTACTATATACAATGTTGTATATGTATGTGGAGTTAATCGTCATACATAATACATTCACCAAGTACATGTCAAACATTGTGAGGACGTGCATGTCAAACATTGTGAGGACATGGTGTGTGTTTCAAATGTAGTGATGTTTGTGTAAATGAACCAAGCTGCATTTTTAGGCTTGGTTCACTAGGAATGGAAAAGCTGTGTAAAAGCGAATATTGGGAATCGAAAATCGTATTGATTTCTGACACCGAACACGTGCCAAAGTTTGGCTGATGAAGCTGTATTTGAAATATTGGAAAATAAAAAATTATAATGATTTCAAACACCGACCACATGTCAAAGATTGACTGATGGGCCTGTATGCTAAGATATTGAGAAATCAAAAATCATAATAGTTTTTAACACCGAGCACATATCAAAGATTTAACTGATGGAGGTGTGTGTTTTCGATATTAGGAAATCAAAATTTGTAATGGTGTTCTTTGGGACAAACATTAAACTTGGAGCGACACGGAGAAGATTAGTATGGGCACTGGGCAACAATAACACGCATAAGTCAAAAAATGGTGGGGGAAAAAAATAAAAATCGTAATGGTTTCTGAAAGCAATCGTGTGTTAGAGGTTTTGAGGAGTGGTGCTAGGTTCAAGATGGTTTTCTGTTTGAGTGAATAAATTTCGTTGTGTTTTGGGGTGGGTTCATTGAAAAATGTTGCACTGTGAAAACGTTGTGATTAGGAAATTGAAAAATGTAATGATTTTTTACACCGATCGTGTGTCAAAGATTGTGAGTAACTAGGGTGGGCTTCAAACTGTCTCGTGTTTGAGTGAATGAACTCGGATGCGTTTTGGGGTGGGTTCATCCAAAAATGTTGAAATGTGTGTATGCTGAGATGAGGAAAATGAAAAAAGTAATGATTTTGTGGCATCGATCGTGTGTTTGACAATCTGAGGAGGTGCGGTGGGTTTCAGTTGGTGTCATGTTTGAGTGACTAAATCCGTTTGTAAGCAACACCCTCAATGCAGTGGGTTTCAAACGGTCTATCTATCTATTCTTTCTACCATATATTTGTTATTCTCATTTTCCTCATATGGTCAGTAATCAAGCAATACCCTAAATGCAAAAAAAATAGAGAATATGGTGGCATATCGTCTTTTTTTTTCTATCCTTCCGCAGGCGTATCTTTCCATGCTCTAGCTAAAGATTCATTTCATTTCCCTCAATAAGTCAGTAGTAGATCTACGTCACATAGCGAGTAGTAGAGCGAGGCACGTGGCTGGGTTTTTCTATGTACTTGAATTCAAACATTCCTTTATGTCATCCCGACCCCCCTGCCCCCCACCGCAGTACACAAAATATGGTGGTGTATCTTTCCATGTTCTTTCTCATCTTGTCAATAGTCGAGCGAGGCCCTCAGTGCACAGAAGCAAAGAATATGACATATATCTTCCCATGTTCAAGTGCTAGATTCATTCTCATTTCCCTCGTTCGATTAGTAAAGCAAGGCCCCTGGTCAGGTTGCATGTAGGTAGGCGAGTGTGTGTCACACGTCCGCCCCACCCTAAAAAAAAAAAAAAGTACCAACGACTCGCTTGGTATACCCCTGAACTATTGAAATATAGACTCAAGTTCGAATCCATATATTATCAGATGAAAAAAATAAAACCGTTATGAATTGCCTAGGGCCGGTCAATTCAATGGGTGGGCGAGTGTGTGAGTGGGTGGGCACATTCTTTTCAAGGTAAAATTTTTCCTTTTCTTTTTTTTCATGATTTGCCCTTTTGCCCCTCCAAGACTCTGATGCTCTGTCATGATGATGATGTGTTAGCTTACATATTGTAATACACTGCGACGCAAAAATGCTTTCAGATTGTTTTGAAGTGCTGTCTTTTTTTCTTCTGCATAAGACATTGAACCCAACTACATGTTGACCCAGATAATTACGATTGTGTGAATCCTCCACGATCGTCACGATAATGCAAAATGTCAGATGTGTCAGAGCCCACACTCTTATGCAGCGCGATGCGAAAATAATTTCAGACTGTTTTCCCTTTTGTTACGATCTTGGCCAATTTTGAAGTGCAAAATTCACGACAAAGCACAATGTTGTCCAATTACAAAAGAAATGAACGAACTTGAGAGGAGAGAGAGATGACGAAGAAAAATAAGTCTAGAAAGAAAGAAGAAGGATAAGATGTACACCAGCAAAAGACCAATGATAATCCCCCTCCTTCCTCGCCAACCGAACTCCTACTCCTTTTCTCCTCCCCTCTTATTCAAACAATAAACGATAATAATAATGTTGAATGGCAAAACCAGAATCAATGTATGAATCCTACTTTTACTGTTTGGCATCACTAGAGGTCCACTATAGCCATGGCCTCCATCTTCTTCCTCCTCAACCAGGCTGGGGCTATGGCGGACTACTAAGGGCCTAGCCCTGCTGTGCAAAAGACAATGTAAAGCAACTACGACCGTTGCGGTTCAAGCCGCCATGCCTAACTCTGTCTTGAAGCCTTCTTGGTGTAGCGCAACCCCACTGAGGCCTTTCAACTGCAACACCTAACAAAGTGGTGAAAATGGCGTCCACCATAGCCATGTAGGTACCTCGCCACTCTCTTCCCTAGTCCTCTTCTCCCTCCTCCTCTTACCGGTAAAGATCCACCATAGCCAAGGTGGAAGCTCCGGGCATTCTTCCTCCTCCCAGAGCTGTAATGCCCAACGCTCTACCCCCTGGCAGCGTTGTTGTTGCGAATACCCTTACAAGGGTACCCGCCCTGGTTTTTGCAAGTGACATAAATAAGTTCGGTTTAGAGTCTGAGTACATCGCGCGAGTCACGAATGTGTTTCAATTTCGCTGATTGAATGGTTGACTAAAGGTAGAGTGTGCGTGGGAGCGCAGGTTTAAGGCGCGTTGTCGGAGGGTGTGGTGTCCCGACCCTCCTCTACATGCCAAAGGTCCGCTCGGTGACCCGCTGCGTACCTGATGCTTACTTGAGGGCCCGTTACTTACCTGCTACTAGCTCGGGAACCTGTTACCGCATGGGCCTTTGCAGGGTACTGCCTATGGGTTCCTGCAGTGCGCCAGGTGTACTCAGGGTAATGCTCTGCTACACGTCGATTCAGTTGGTGCTCGCCTTAGCAAAAGGGTGGGGGTGCGCCACTGGACTTTCCTTTTGGTCCACGCAGGCTCGGCGCCCTGCTGTAGAGCAGAGCACTGCCGGCCTGTGGCCGTGGTAGCTTCCGGGCTTGCCCAAGGACGCGAAGGAAGAGGGACCGGCGTGCTCTTTTCCACCGCGCACTAGGTGCCTCCTTGCTAGGTTATGGGTTAGATGCATGGCCCTGTTGTTACAGTTGAACAGAAGAGGATTAGGAAAAGGAAAAAGAAAAGGAAAATAAAAAGTGAAGAGGAAGTCATGCGTCAAACCTGCTCACTGATTTGGACTCTCGCCTTAGTCTAACGACCTCTGGCCGCAGCGACGTTTTAATTCCTTTCCTTTTCTTAATTTTATTACTATTCTTATCGTTGTTATTATTATTACTATTATTATTATTATTATTGGTTCCTTTTATTTAATTTTCCCCTTCTGTCATTTCGTGAGAGGCTAACGGTTCAATTTTGATCTCAGACTGCAGCCTGGCGGTCTTGACTAGCCCGACCTTTCGTTTATCCCCTGTGTCTGACCTGTTCGGCTGAGCGCCGCGCAGTGGAACCCCAAAAGGGGGGGGGCCACTAGCGACCGCTTTGGTAGGAGGCTTATCACCCCCTGTAGGAGGTCATAAGCCCCCTCCTTACCATCGGACATGGGTACCCGTCAGGGGTAGTCCGACGTCTTCCTTTGAAGCGGGGAGGGCGTCCGTCGGTATCCCGTTATGGGACCGCCGCGTCGAGTCTGCAGGTCGCTTTCACTCCTAAGACAAAGTATTTAGTGGCATACAACGGAAGCTGGCACTATGACCCTTGGTGTTATGCCACTCGTTTTTCCTCCCTTTTCCCTTGTTTCGTTCTAATTTATTCTATTAATTTTTGAAATTCAAATTGTTAAAATGTAGAACTTTGGAAGCTATCTGGGTCCCTCATTCAGAGCACGGGGATCGCAATAGATAGCGATCCTATAAAGGAGAAGGAGGTGTGTCATTTGGCTACCTGGGCACGAGCGGTCTCACAACGTTGCTTGTTGGCGAACTGAGGAGAGGGCTGATGCGAAGTAACGGGCTATACGGCTACAGGCCAAGATATCTCCAGTTCCTCTGGAGGTGGAAACGGATGTTTGGAGATGGGCCGACGGTGACTGCCGTCTTGGACTACAGTCACTGCAGACGGGAGGCAAGATTAAAGATAAATGTTGAAGGGGGGAAGGAGGAGGAAATGAGAGCAGACCAGGGACTACAGGCGGCCATTACGGAGGCAACAGACCGGGTTGAGAGAAGATGCAGGAGAGACGGGGTCACAAACGAAATAAAAGTCACAATTTCATACCTGGAGGGAGAGACGTCCACAAATACTACAGAGAGGGAGCAACAACACTTGGACAGCGACGCAGAGGCTGAGAGCGATGCCAGTGATATGGGCGAGGAAACCCAGCCCTGGCATGGTCTCGACCAGTGGCGGCGGGATCACCCGCCGACCGAGTCTGCTGGGAGCGGCTCGGAGGCCGACTCGCGACAAAGAGACCAAGGCCGCTAGCAATTGAGAGAGAGAGGAGTGCGGCAGGGACCTGGTCTTGGATGGCCTGAAGCGGTGGCTAAGGGACCACTTGCCTGCTGAACCAGTGGGAAATGGCCCGAAGGCCAATTCACGGAGAGAGGCAGAGAGAGAAGTAACGGGGGTTTGTGTGACAGTCATGCTCAAGAAACGGAGGAGTGAAGAGGACTGCAGGGTCAACGCGCGCCGAGGGAGCCTCGAAGAAGTGGGTGGTGACAATGACGTGCGTGACCAAGACAGCGCTGTGATAATCACTGCGTGCGCGGGAGAATGGGAAGAGGCCAGCTTTAAGGAGGGCCAAGATCCCCAGGCTGATACAGACTGCACACGCACACACTAGAGAGTTTGCTCACTATGCATCCTGATGCCGTCTACCCGAGGGATGAGTCTTGTGCCAAGTACCAATCCGCGCCTTATCTCTCCAGTGATTGAGGGAGGAGACAGGGACTGAGCATCAACGAACGAGAGACGGCGGCACAGGGGATTTTCCTAAGAAAGCAGAGGAGGGGGACCCGAGCGCTCTGCACTGTTGTCGTCACCTGTTTTCTAGGGAGGACTAGCAGCGAGCCATTCCCTCCACTGGACAAAGACGTCAAAGAGAGAGTCGGTGTGTACGCGAGAGGCGACGAGGTGCGTAAGCGACGCAGACAGGAAGGAAGGAGTGTGATTGCAGGGGGCGACTCAAGGGAGACGTGCGAAAGAGCATGAAGGTGCATGAAAGATAGGCATACCTCCTGTTTGGCTGACGTCAACTGGCCTCTCTTGAGCAGCCATTGTTGGTTGCTGGCGAGGTTACGTGGAAAAAGTGGCACTTTGTCGAAGCTCATGCCCTGACACCCCTGGTGTAGTCCGTTGTTGGTCGATCATCACCACCGTGGAAGGAGAGGGGCGGACCGTGAGCGAGCACTCAGCTGGTTGAGGTCGCCGTTAGCAGGGAGGCAATTTTCTCAGTGGACAAGTTTTCGCCGCCATTGCGAACTAACGCAATCCTATATCTCCCTGTTCTCCGAGAAGACGGTGAAGATGAGGGTACTATACTAAATGTTGACAATGACGCAGAAAGGGGGAGATGATGTGCTGCTGCAATATGCAGAGAGAGAAGTACCAGTTGACATCATCTGACTTAGATTCACTATGCAGTTGGCGCAGGTCGAACCTCTCTGAACGACCTAACCTTCTTGTTTCCGAATACACCCTGGAATTCTCTGACGATTGAAAGTCAAGTGTTGAGGCTTGGATTCCCCGTAAGAGATGAGCACGTAACGTTAAGCGTACTGCCTACGTCCTGGAAAAATATGGCTAGCAGTCGCAACTCACGCTTAGATGCGTGCGATGATCAACCTGAGGAACTACAGTTAGGCAGTGTAGCAATGGTGGTATACGGGTGAGAGAGAGAGATGAGTAGGAATGCCGCGTGAGGGCGACTTAGTTGATGGTACCTCCCTTTTGTTTGACTATTTAGAGCGGGAAGGCATAATCCACAAGAGTAAGGGTATGGACTAAAAGAGAGTGGCGGTAAGGGACGAGAAACAATTGACTTACTGGTGTTGTAGGGGTCGCGCCACCACTCGTTTCCCTTGAGCACTGTCGCTGGTTGTACGCGGAGAGTCACAATCGGTTATAAAGCGGGAAAGATGGGCATGTAGTATACAGGCTAGGGGAGGACTGTCCTGATCAGACCTGGAAAGAACTTTACTGAACTGCTCTTTGCGTTTGAGCCTATAGGCTAAATGCATCATATGGACAGAGGGTTTCTTGAAACACATATGGGTGGCACGCGTGTTAATGATGGGGACATCATCAATGGCACGCACTATATGCTAATTCCTCCTCTTGGATATGGTTATGCAGTAGCCCATGCCAGGTGACTTTTATGATCTGTGTGATGACCGTGTCATGAACAGATGGTACAAAAGAGAGATTTCGCTTCAGTCAAAGTGTTTGGAAAAGGCAAATATGTGTTGTCAACAATTAAGTGGGTCTGGCTTATCAGCTCTCTCATCTAATTCAAGTATCACCTACCAAAAAGATGTCACGCTGATTGTTGTGATCAGGCTTTGTTAAAGATCTTGAGTGCAGACTTAGTTGATGTGCACCTAAAGTCTTCGAGTAACATGCTCGTGAGAGGGAGAGGAGTTTTGTTGACTGAAGTCGAAAGGTATCCGTCTGTCAATATCGTGAGTGACGATGTACAAGAACCGGAGTAACAAATAAGGCTTCAAACATCCTCTCCTTACCTCCCTTACTCGTTAGTCAACTTCCTTGACAAGACTGTGGTTAATTAGTTATCTCATTTTACTGTCTATTGGCTAAACAACCAGTAAGAGGCTGACTATTTGAGGAAGTCTCGGCGGGCATCTCCACTTCCCATTCTGGAAACCCTCTTCCTCTTTAGAGAGTAAAACTGAGGCTGATCTCAAGCTGTACCCATGAAGGCCCTCATGTTTGTTTGATGGGAAAGGGAAAGGCCACCTTGAGATTGATCGTGTACATCTTGGCTAAATATTTGCTTGACGGGGACTAACCTTTTCAAAAAAGAAAGGAGGGCCAAACTTTGGAATCGTGTTGGATCTCAACCGCTAGTTCTTGCGTTGATTAGGACAATCCAAACTTGTTCTTACTACAAAAGTGAAACTCAGGAAGCATTTGTTAGGACATGAGAATGAATTGTCTCTGGGAGTGATTACTAATCCGAATTTATTTACGGCAATCTAATTTTTGTAATGATAATGGAAAACCTGTGTAACAGATAAAAAGCAAACGAGCTCGTGGACTATGAGCGATGATTAGACGGAGAGTGCTCCAAACGGTATCCTGCCATGTATACTACCGGGAGTCTGGGCCAACGACACTTCTCGTAGTACATGAACAGGGTTAGGGAGCGGTAGTGGCTCATGCAGCACGTGATTAGTAACAACTATCTGTCGTACCTTGCTCGCTCGTCAAGCGGGAAGCATCATCAAGCAAGTTCCGTATCCATCTGGGAAGCTATCGGTCATGAACAGTTTCATCCGGTCATAACTTTTGTTGTACTCTACTCATTACTTGAGATCTATAGTTTACAACGGACTAGTGGCGACTAAGACTAGGCTAGCCTCCAATGATAATGATGCATGCCACTCGAACCCCAGTATTATTGTATGCATCGCATATCGAGCTGCCTGGGCTGCCCTTGTAATTTGTTGTCATGTTCTTTTCACTATCAGCTGTGGTGAATGTAGTAGTCAAGCAACCTAAAATGCTTGAAGTTGTCAGTGAGCTACACTAATTGGGGTTCAGGTCCGAAGGAGCCTCGTGTGATACTCGAGCATCAACTGTTGTCTGTGTTGGTGTTGACTCTAGTCTGTCTGCGTTACTTACTGGAGGGCT